GGAATGGCAGAGCTTCAAATCACTAAGATGGACAGGTCAGTCCCTGACAATTTGTGGAGGTGTGTTGCTTCAATTCTGTCATTGAGGTGCAATTCCATCACTAGTACCAGCCAAGAATGGGTCTGTTACATGAGGAAGTGGTTGGGATTTGAAGAAATAACAAAGATACTTGCAATGCTTTGTGTGCTTACAAGGGAAGGAAGGGAATGCGGTTGTCCTAATTAAGGTAGTCTTTAGCAACGCCTTTGGCAAATTGTCCCATGATATCTTGATTACTAAACAAGCAAAGAGTGGGCTTGAGTTTGCAACCATTAGGTGGATCCACAATGGGCTGCAAAATTGGACTGAAAGAGTGCTCATCAATGACACGTTCTCAGACTGGGGAGGGATAAGTGGGGTGCCAGAGGGTTCTGTCCTGGTCGTTCAGTTAAAAGAATGCAGATTTTGGCTAGACACCAGGAAGAATTTCCTCACTGTCAGAGAAGTACAGCAATGGACTCTCCTATCTGGGGCAGTTTTCAGTTTTCCCCTCACTACAGACATTCAAAAGGCACCCAGACAATCATCTGAGCGGGATAGTATAACTTAGTGTCCTATACTCAGCAAGGGCTTGAAGCCAACAGCCTTTGGTACCTTCTCAGGCCACTGTTCTATGAGTCAGTGGTTGCAAGGTCCTTGGTTGTGCTAATGAACCATACAGATGCGTGTCTCTGGAATGGAAAGAGCTCCCCACAAACAATATTCCCATTCTCTATTTTACATGCAATGGGTTATTTCCATGCAGAATTCACTTGATTGAACAATACTTTATTATAGAAATCTAATATGTGATAAAAATGGAAAAATATAAGCAATGCCAAGTTGAAGGTTTCTGAAGGAAAGGAAGCTACTGCAGGAAGGGAATGAATGTTAATCTGGTATGATGGTTAAGCAAAATCAGAAGAGATGTTCAACTCATTCAGGCAATGCAGGACCAGGGAGTATAGCATTACAGACCGGAAAACCTGAGGGATTGTATGGCTAAAACCCTCAATGGACCCTCACCGAGTCTATCATAGCCTTTGCTGAAAATTCGAAATCGAAAATATGTTGGCTTTCAAGATAGCACACACTTCTGCCACAACAACAATACAGGAAATTCTTTCTTCCAGCTCGGTTATGGCTTGATCGACCATGCTCAGGGAAAGAAAAGGGAATTCCCNAGGAAATTCTTTCTTCCAGCTTGGTTATGGCTTGATCGACCATGCTCTGGGAAAGAAAAGGGAATTCCCATCCTTTTACAGAATTGATCCCAATGACAGTGTCCAGTATGTGGGCTTAGTTCGGCTGCTCCTGCATTTCCACTGGAACTGGGTTGGGCTGGTTGGTCGAGGTGATGAGCGTGGCGAAAGTTTCATCCAGACACTCATCCCCATGCTTAAGAAGAAGGACATCTGTGTGGTTGCTTCTGAAAAGTTCAAGATATCAGACGTTCTCCATCAACTAAAAATCCGAAGTGAGTCTATTCCTACATCTTGGTCGGAGCCGCAAGTGATGATTGTTTTTGCAGATGCCAGTGTTGTTCAACAATTCATGGTATTGTTAGCTATCCATTGAGAAAAGACCAAGGCCCCATTGAGGAAGGTTTGGATCCTGACCTCCCATTGGGAATTCTCTGCAAAACGATTTGACTTTGCTGGGAGATACTTCAAAACCTTGCACGGTGCTTTGCACTTCAAAGTCCAGAGAAGGGACGTTCCAGAATTCAAACATTTTCTCTTGACTTTAGACCCACAAAATCCAAATGGAGACATTTTTCTACGTTTCTGGTGGGAAATAGCCTTCAGCTGTCAGTTTCCAAGATTAAGGCAAGACGCTGAATGGGATGAAAGATACTGTACTGGAAAGGAGAAGCTGGAGGATTTGTTGGCCAGTTTGTTTGAAATGAGCATGTCTAGCCACAGCTATAGCATCTACAATGGCATCTACTCTGTGGCACATGCGTTACACTTTGTATCTGGATCCAATCCTGCAAGGCAAGGGAAAGACAGGAGACTTCTGAATATTCAGCCATGGCAGGTACAGTATCATTCTCTTTCAGATTTTCAGATTTGGCCATCTTATAAAAATGCCTTGATGGTGTTGCAGTGCTCTAATCCTGGAAGCAAAGGGCATGTCTGGGTGATTCTAAGCAAGGTATTTTTCCTGAACCATCATGTCCTTTTGAAAACACCAATGAATACATTAAGATGAGCAGAGACCTACACCACCTCAACTACAATTATCTGCTTGCAGCTGTCGATGGTGAGAATTGTTGCCCCAAATGAAATTCTACTCTGAAGAGCAAATGTATCCCCTCCCTGCTCTGAGAAAAAAAAAAAAAAAAAAAACGGGCAGCTCCCCAACTCCATAGTCACTCTTGACCAGCAGTTGAAGAACTTCAGAAATTGCTGTCTTTCTGTATGTGTTGAGATGGGGCCCGTTTCTCACAAAACATGGCATCCCAAACTAAAAAATGAAAATCGGATTTGGAAAGTGTACTAGATGGAGAAAGAGGAGTTGAAATGTGGCACACCAGGTTTTCAAAGGAATCGGATTGGTCAGATAGCTGCTGGGAATCAAAAAGCTTTGGGTTTGAGACACCACAGAATAGGGAGGGTATGAGGAAGTGGGTCATGAGTTCATTAACCCAGTGAGCCAGCATCAACCAAAAGGATGGGACAATTTATTAACCTCTGGAATTCCTGCCATCTGGCCCACAAGTAGCATGAACATTCCTGAAGGTGGAGTCAAGCATTTTGGGAAAGGGGGGAAGCGGGTACTCATCTGTTTGTGATCAATGCTGCACATGGGGAAAAGCTGCTCCCACAAACCAGAGGAAAGATTAC